CACATTTGAGGAGAACTAAAAGCTTGATGTTGCTTGAAGAAGAAAGTGCCAGGAGAATGCAGGCATGGTACAAAGGCAGAAAACAACACTAAACGTACACAAAACTCACACAAATAGTCCTTAGGTGTCAGAAGACTTACAGAGCTTGTAGATTAAGACAGTCAGACAGAAGGAAATTCTTAGTCCTTAAAATAGCAGCTCTGACTATCCAGGCCTTCTATAAAACAAGATCCACATACCAAAGGATGAAGAAATCCACATTGCTCATCCATTCTTGTTCCAGAGGTCTTGTAGAGAGAAGGAAATACAGACGTATGAACAAAGCGACCACCAACATACAGAGGACTTATAGAATCTACTGCCACAACAAACTTGTCAAGGTTAGATCAAGTTAAAAATGTTTTGTTTATTAATAAAAATAAATTAAACGGAAATGGTTTAAAGAAAATTTCTCTAGTTAAAAAGGAAGTCTTGTCAATTTACTACAATGATTCTAATTGTGTTAATTTTATAAGAATTTAGTATTTTTGGTTGTCACAAGGTGTAATTGTAAATGGTTCATGTTTGTGCCATGGAATACAGTGGAACCTCATTTATCCGGACACTTTGGTTCCTAGTCAATTTGTCAGGATATGTGAAGCATCCAGATACCGGTACCTAAATTACCAGTTAAACAAGACAAAACAACGTTCAAATATTCTGTTCGATGAAAAATCGTCCGGATACAGAAGCAACCGGATATCTGGCATCCAGATATCTGAAGATCCACTGTATATTTAAACCCGGGACCTCTGACATGTCAGTTCACTGTGATTTACCCATACAAGTAGAGAGTTAATCGTTTAACTCAGTTGGTAGACCACTGCAATGGACTGGCATACCAAACGCAGCACAGTTAAGGTGCGCAATGGAAATATCGACTAAATTTTGTATTTAAAAATGTATTCGTAATCGGGATGGCGATTATTTTGAGTACATTATCTATATCGGATAATTGTAATTATGATTAATAAAGTCTACATATCGAGGACGATTATATTTTATACTTAGACTAGTCACGTGATGCGGCAGTCACGCGATTTTAGCACATTGACTTGAAGTATTGATTTTACATATAAATATCACTAGTGCAAGGGCATAACCAAGTTAAATTTCCAAGTTTAGTATCTAAATATTTTCAACACACATTGTAGTTTCTAAAAAGTGCTGCGATCCTGTATAAATTCTGCAATTTCATAGTTAAAATTATACTTGTATGACCGAATGCTATATTTTTTGCTGGACAGCGGCATGAAATATTGATATAATTAAATTGTTTTTAAGAGTTCATCAGGATCGCAGCACTTTTCAGATACAGTAATAGTTCTATAGTTGAAATGTAAAAGCTTACTTTGATCCATAGAGTGTATGCCCTTGCACTGGATCGATTTATTAAGACCCCCCACATTACCCTCCGATGTACTTGCATACAAATATACGACAGTGTCAATTAAATACGTAATGTACAAAAAAAATATTAATAAAATAGTGAAGAAGACATTAAATTCAAGTTATTGGCCCATAGAATATCTGTAAATAATATTTTATTTAATTAGAGAATACATATTTTGTTGAGAAAATATTACTTGATCTGTCTCTCACTGCATACAAACTACGTCACGTTGTAAGAAATGACGTCATATTGACAAGTGTATTGCGATCAGTGACTTGCATATAACTTTTTATGTGGGATTTAACTAACGACAAAACAACACGCTGTAGTAAGTTTTTATGTAGTTTGATGATTTCTTACTGCTTAAATTAGCAGATAAACTCATTTTGTGGTATTTTAAAGAAATGTTGTATGACGTATATTGTGTATGATGTCATAGTCAAGTTTTCCCGTACAAATTAGGCTCCGCCTCCTTTTTGTAACCTTAACTGTGCTGCGAAGGTCAAATCCATTTCAAGGCATTTACATATCTACGTAATAAACTGGTAATCAAAGTTGCAGTGATTGTCATGCCTAACTTATAAATAACATTACTTTTTATTTGTTCACTTAGGAGAAAGAAAGCCAAGAATACCAAAACTAGTTGGCCAAGCAAGAAAAGGCCAGAGAAGGAGTATAGAGTGCAATCATAATACAGGTGAAGATTACAGATTCTTAAGATCAAAATTGTATGAAAATGTCCTTCTCAAATGTCATAGATTAGGAGATAAAGTATATCTGTTGTTTAAAATAAGGTGCCAAATTACTGTTTAACTTCAGTATGCATGTATCTTGATCATCAATGTATAGAATACCATTTAGATATGTTCGATTGTGAGGTAGAAGTCCAAACCTCTTTTCCTTAATTCATGTTTATCTTGATATTTTGAATTATTGGATTATTATTTTTAAGTTTTACATGCCCCCTTGAATTTGATATAATGGTCTTTTACTGTAGATAAATACCATATGTGCTATTTATATGACTGATGATTCTTGACACACAGATAAATGAGTAAAAAATTGTTTGTTATGTACAGAAATGTGTAAGAGGGAGATATATGTCGCTAAAGGTTGTTGAATCTCAAGAGCTCTATTCGAGTGATTGAAAAAGTAACATTGAACTTGATGCACATCTGCCATGAAAAGAAAAAAAAAAACAGGAATTAGCCACCACAACGATGGACGTGAATAAGGTAGTTTTACTAAAGTCTTTCTTCAATATGCAAGAACCCTAAAGTATTTTCCCCAATTCTCATGTCCCTCTCTGTATCATTAACTGCTCATGCATATTCATTAGAATTTGTGGTACTGGGGCAGTGAATTAATGCACAACTTTTTGATTTCCTTTCAAGAATTTTAAAATTGAGGTAATTAATGTCAGATGGGGGATATTAAGTATTTTAAAATCAATGTCCCTGACATTATTCTTAATTATTTTGTACACAAGAAAGATTAAACTTCTGATCTATTTTTAACATTAGTTGTTTTGACTTTTTAAATTTCAGAATGAAGAGGGGGAACAGATAAAAAAAATGAAGTTATTGTGAAGCCTAAAAAATTAGGGGTATGTGTTAGAAAACATGAACACTGTAAAGCGCTAAAAATGTCAGAGGACGGATACAGCTCAACCATCTTTCAGGCGCCTGGATACATTAATCAGTAGCCATCTCAAGCGGCGATGTCATTGTTGTTGACAAAACTGACACGGGTCAGTTATCCATCCACACAGTAGCTGTTAATTGGTCGTCTTGTCATTTACTTATTAGTCACATATTTTACAATGGTTACGTTTAAAAAAAAAAAAAGGCAGTATTTATAAATCAGACCCGCAACTGCGTTTCAGTATAGTTTCAGATATATACCGTGTTACATAGTCTCCTTGGAACTTTTGCATCACTGATTCAGGTCGCCGGGGAAGCCCTTTCTATTTCTCACAATCGTACCACAACAGAAGATCTTTTTGGCGAGCAGACCTTTAACCAGTTCGACTGAAGTAAAGAAGCTGTCGAAGAAAACGTGATGGTTTTTGCCCTGTAATTCCTCCACAAGTTTAAAGACTACTGTCTGGCCAACAGGAACACCCTTGTATTGGTCCCTTCCGAGATACAGGTCAAGCTGATGGCAAAATCCAGACAAACTGTCACACCGGAGCCAGACTTTTAACCCCCATTTAGTAGGTTTGGAGGATATACACTGTTCGGCCTATAAATGAAGATAGCAATTAAAAAGTTATGAGAAGATTGCTATTGAAAAACTGTTTTCCTTTAATTTATTCTGATCTGAAGTAAGCTCGTAATTACGATATTTGTTGACATAAAAACATTCGATAAGTCTTTATAAGTTTATTTATCGATTGTTTTGCCAATAAAAGTTGAACTCAATCGAAATTCATCTCTATTACATTCCTTTGCGGTATAAAGTATTCGAAATAACGGATTGTATGGAGGCCTCAAAGAGAAATAATTTAAATATTTTTAAAAAATTCGTTATTGGAATTATAAGGATTAAACGCTTTTTTGAAATATTCATCGATGTGTAAAGTCTTGACATTCTACTCACAAACTTAACATAAAAGTGCTTCGCACTTTTATTTAGTTTGTGAGTATCAGTAAAATGTCAAGACTTTACACATCGATAAATTTTTCAAAGAGAGCGTTTAATCCTATAGTAAAAAGGGTCAATGTAAAGAGTTATACTTGTCATTTTAATTCATGAAAGAAATTGAAACAATCGTGCGCTCACATTTTATTTTCCAAGAAACGTGCAAAATCACGGGTACCTGTCCCTATAGTAAACGGCACCTTGTTTAGGGTGTTGCTAAAACGCGGAACGGAAAGGGGAACGGAACGGAAAACGGAAAATAAATGTCAAGCAAAGAAGCTTGATTCGATATTAATCAGACATAAAAAGCGTTATTCATTATATAAAAGACATATTTAATGAAAAATTAACGTAAAATATGATATATTCGTTAGTCATGCACCCCTCATAATATGTACTTGCGATGGTCAATAAAAAACATACTGTGATATATAAGTACTAACTAGTATCTTTCTGTCAAACGTTTCGTTCAAATCATTTTTAAGAATGTTCATTGAGAAACAAAAAATCTTGTTTTGAAATAAGCGGAAGGAAAAAAAAAACTACTAGTATGTATACATACGTGTATCGGTATAGACAAAAATTTGAACTAGGTTTGACATATGCATTATGCATGCATTGGCGAATCAAGGAATCTTGAAAAGGGAGGGGGCAGTTAGAGTCGGAGTAGGTGCCTTCAGTCACATACATATATTGGTCACAGAGAGTACGGGGGTGGTCTTCCTCCCCTCTAAATCCATGAGTGGCATATGATATGCATATTGAGAAATTCAAATATGAATAGCTGCAACATAAGAAAAACATTTATAGCAAAGGAATTTAATAGTATGTTTAACCTTTTTCTTATAAAGCAACTTTTCAGACCTGAGCAGAAAAACAAAAGTTTTACGAGGTCAACCCCCCCTCCCCCCAAAAAAGAAATCACACTTTAACTTCATTAAATGTCAGGACGATATATTAGTTTAACTACAATTCAGATTTATAACTCCATCTATACAGGATTTTAATGGATAGGAAGCGACTCTATTTTGTATAAAATCTTAACAACCAGTTTTACAATCGAAGTGTTTATCCGGGGTGCTCTAATAGTAATCTTATTATAGAAAATTCTTTTTTTTTTTTACATTTTATTTTCCTTATCAATTACAATGATTCATTAAGATAACATGTTTTTCACACATAACCCTTATACTATAGAAATGATCATTGAGACCTCCAACACTTTCCATCTGTTAGATGTAGTTACATGTAGTAAGTGTAAAAAAAATAGTACACTGTAAAAAATGTGTTTAGATGATAGACACTTTCCTAAGCACTTTCTTGTCACACTTTTTTATGCATTGAAATTCTAATCACATTGAATTTCATTACGTGTAACGGAAAGTGTTTAGAGCCTAAACACTTACATGTTTAGACTTTAAACACTTGACAAAACATGTTATGATTCATATTTACAAATTAAACACTTGGATGTTTTTATTGTCTTCCTGCAAGAAAACTGGAAATATAACAATTGTTTACATTTTAAGTTTTATTCAATAAACATTTTTTATCAAGAATTTTAAATTAAATATACATTATATTTTTACACGCTGGTTTTAATTCTAACCAGATTAGCAAGCAGTTATTCCTCATGTCTGTATCAAGTTTAACTTCCAGCAATTTTTCACTGAGCAACACACGCATTTCATCTGTGACCGTCAGAGGTAATCCACTGTCATTATTTGAGAATATTTTTAGGTTGTTCAAAGCTATAACGAACAGCAGACTTCACAAAACTCAGTTTCTCCTAGAAAGTAAGAAGTGTTGAATAATGTAAGAACGATGGCATGTCATTGTGGACTTGGAGATGGCAACAGTTTCTCTGATACGTGTATTTTTGCTTTCAAGTTCGATGTGGACCATATCCTGTAAGAAAGAAATTCAAATTTTATCAAAATATGCTCCTCACTGGCTGGATTTGTATGAACTTTTTTTTTTTTTACATGTTTGATACATGTAGCTATTATTGTGCTACTTTTATTGAACCTCGTCTATATAACCACTATTTAGTATTGATACTGTTATAGATATTATTGATATTCTATATAATGTACTCCTTTCTAGATTTCAGGAATGCTAAATATAACCGAAGATAGTCTTGATCTACAACTACATGTGCAAACGCATGTTTATTTACGTAGCCCATCGTGGTCAATTTATGTAAAATAAAAATAATAGTTAACATACCTTTTATCGCAGTAATGTTGCAGTTTAAATGCATTTCAAAATGTCAATCTCTTCATGGTTATCACTTTAATTAGCATTCACTTCCTTTAATCCATCTTCTTTAGCTTACATCGGGTTTTCCTTTGTTTCGATAACCGCTCTATTTATCATTCGAATATATATGCGTCATTTCCGGGAAGATAACTCTGCACTTCACAGAAAAGTGTTCAATTTCTAAACACTTGTATCTAAACGTGTTAAATCTAACATCATTTAGATATAACACACGTTTAGACATAAGTGTTTAGCCGTTAAACACAATCTAACACACGTTTAGACCTAAGTGTTTAGCCGTTAAACACAATCTTATACATGTTTAGGTCAAAACACGTAATGGAAGTGTTTATTTTCTAAGCGCATTTTTTACAGTGTACAAAAAGAAATTGGAGCTAACTACTACTAGTACTACAAGAGACTTGAAATGGTTAAATCAACTTGTATTTATTAAGGAGGGATAAAATACCTAATGCATAAAATATATCGTTTCTGAGAAATTTATATCTTTTAAATGATTTAATCTTAAATAATATTTTCCGTTTTCCGTTCCGCGTTTTAGCAACACCCCCTTGTTTACACATTTCAATCCGCCTTTGACCTCATGAATAACAAAGCATTGAACACGTGACTCAAATCTATTCACTTTCATGCTTTGAGCAGATTAATGCGACATCGTGTCCAGTGTTGCGAGTTATCGATGGTCAAATCATTAGAACTTTAAAAGAGGCAGTCCGCCGAAAAACCAGGCAGGGTTGTATTAATAGGCGGCACATCGAATGTGACGAATATTTGAAATTTTATTGAAAACAATATCAATGTAGTCCAAATGGAATAATGTAATCGAAGATTTGTTTTAAAATTGCTTATTTAGTAAAATATTCTTTTGTTTCGTGTTCTTGAATTCCCCTATATAAACCATTGAATTTAGGTCAGAAACAGCGAACTGTAATTTCCAATACTTATTTAAAAGGACTATAATTCACGCTGAACTAAATCTAGAAATATTTTGTCTTTCAGTTTCAAAAATAAAATTGGTGGGCAAAACACTTTTGATAGTAGTTTTCTGTCAAAATATATAGACGTTTTTATGAAATTTTGCGATGTAAGAGTTATCTCCCGTGGCATCGATAAATCTGCTAAACACCTTACTATCGAAATCCTAGTGAAATATTTAGAATATATACTCAAAATAAAATTATTTAACAAAAAATTACTACTTTATTTTTAAAATTCCAAACGTAATATTTAGATTAAGATTGGCAGTATTATTCAGGTTGAATCCACGTTTCCATTGATGTATCAGTGACGTCATATACCTGACTAATATTGCGTCACAATTAAACAGTTACAAGTTTTCCAAAGAAGTTTGTAAATTCTTTGCATAAAAGCGCAAATAAAACGATTAAAAATAAACAATTTCTCTTTTTCTGTTCAATTACTTTTCAGAGTGCATTATCCTACATGTTAAACAATCATATATTTTTATATGAAAATTTAATGTATTTTTTCACGGGCGACGTCTCAGCTAGAAGTCCCTTTTGAAAAGTAATTTTGTACATGTCCGAGAACTAATTTTTTAAACTGATTTACTAGGCTATGCGTACAAATAATAATATTGTTTATATTGAATATTTCTTATAAAATTGGGATGTGAAGATATTTTATTTTCTTCTGATTATCAAGGAAAGATGGATATTTTAGATTTACGCAACATTTAATTCAAGTCAACGGAGTTGAGATGTTCATTTCATGATATTTGCACACACACACACACACACACACACGCACACGCACACGCACACACACACCACTTGATTATATTTATCTATGCAGTCAAACCAAAGTAAACGATCCGCGGTACGATTTAAAATATTTTATTAAAAACGTGAAAAATGAGATTTAAAAAATATTTATTGAGGAAAATTACTGTTGAACTCCCCACTTCAATTTGCCACTAAAACGGAAGATTTCGTGGGCGTATTTTTTGTTTTGTATTGTTTTTGTTTGATTGATTGATTGTTTGTTTGTTTTTTTGTTTTGTTTTTTGTTTTTGGTTAAAGAACTATATGCGGTATATTGCATATATTTGCCCCCACAAAAGTCAAATTTTGAAAACTTCCTGAAATGTGCCGAATTCAATAAATTGTATGAGAAATATAAATTAACAGAAAATATTATAGTGTCAAAGCAGTGTATTCACAATTTTTAGGTCACCTGAGTAAACTCAGGTGACCTATTGCTATCACTTTTCGCCCGTCGTCGTTTGTCGTGCGTTAACATTTGAACATTTTCAGCTTCTTCTCTGAAACCACTGAATTTAAAACCAATTTCAACCAAATTTGGCATATAGCATCTATGG